TTACCAGAGTTGGGTTATGGACAAACTTTGATGGAACTCAGACGAGAGTAGTGTATCATGAGAGTGGCCTAGAGCCCACAAAATATTACATCCATTGCATGAGGACAAAAAATATGAGAAGGGCACGTGGTAAAATATCTTGGTCTTTTTTTTTTTCTTTTTTTTTTTTTAAAATTTGAACATTATGAATATAGAGCAATTATGAATAATCAGCACAGGTGCAAAGGCAGATTTTCTCAAGAACTCATATCAGATATGACTGATTTAAAGTCTAATACACCTTTCAAACCTTCCATTTTGATTGCATTAATAATTCTGAAATCATAGTATTATTTTTGAAGATGTCACATTCTTGTCAACATCGTCAATAACTAAAATATTAAGATTCGTGGGGGTGGAGGAACCCACCATTTTAATATCATAATCATTCAACAAGGACATAGCCCAACAGCCCACATTAAAAATGCTTTAGAAACTCCTTTATATTCCCAACTCTCAAGAATTTAGACTTGTTCTTCTCTTCCTCTCAACAATGGAGTTTCTAGCAGCAAATTTTCAGCAGTATGGAGAAATACTACTGTCCTTGATAAGGCCAACTATGGTTTCAGTGATATGCACGGTACTGGCCTTACTGGCTGGAGTATTGGGGTACTTGTATGGTCCTTATTGGGGTGTAAGGAAAGTGCCTGGTCCTCCAGCAATTCCTTTCTTAGGTCACTTGCCCTTGCTTGCAAAATATGGCCCTGATGTATTCTCCATTCTTGCTAAGAGATATGGTCCTATTTTCAGGTTTGTTCTTTGCGCTCGAGCATGTTTGGATAATTTTTGAAGTAATGTCTAAGCTCAGCTTAACATGTCTGTAGGTTTAAAAGTTGGAAAATGTTTGTTGTACATAATGTTTTACAGATTGATAAAAGTAGAGAACTTTTACATGTTCTTTTTTCTATTTGGTTGATGAGATTTTGACCCAATCAAATCTCGTCACATCATCAAATAGCAAATAAATTTGTAAGTAGTGATGTACATATGGCATATAACATAATCTGTAAGTAGTGATGTACATATAGCATAATTGTTAAAAGTTACTCAACTTTTCCACCAGACACGTTTTGCCTTCTCTTTGGAAGTTGTTTCTTTTTTGATCTTTTAATCTTTTAATACAAAAATGGAAGTTTGCTCCTTTTTTTAGTTGGACAAACATGTGAGAAAAGAATAAATAAATAAATAAATCTTTTAGTGGAGTTGAAACAATATATTTCATCAATTTTTATTATAATTTATTAAAATCTAATTTTTAACAAATCAAAATTAAGACCTCTGCTCGAAACCACTAGAGGGTCTTTAGGGCTTGTTTGTGCCTCTTTAATTTCAAAAAGTGTATAATGGAATACTGATTGATGTTGAAACGTGTGGCTAAAAAAGAATGAAAAATTTATGATTAATGTGTAACATTATTTTAATAAAAAATGTGTTGTTGAAAATGAGTACTATAAAAAATAATGTGATAGAATTGTTGATAAACAAAGGCTTAGTAAGAAGGATATAGGGGTTCAAGGGTCTTTCTGAATAAGTTAATAATTTACTTTTCCACAGGAAAGAGTCTTTTACAAGAAAGTCAAGAACTCTTTAAAAAAGTTAACCAATAAAATTTACTGGTTCAAATTGAAGAACAATGGGCATAAAAGCTGTTTGTTTTCTGGCTAAAATTGAGTGGTGTGTACTTCTGTTAATCCAATCCATTAGATAATAAAAAGACTATAAAAAAGGAGAATATATTTTCAAGAAACAAATTACGTCCAAATCTTCAACTGACGCAGTAACATGCTTTTGTCAGTAAAAATATTAGTCCCGCCCACTAGACGAAATTCCTTTCGGAATCGGGACCCGCGGGAGGTCCGAATCGTCTAGTGATATCAACGAGTTGATCAAAGTCAGCTCGCGAGATGAAACTCGAGGTTCAAGCTCTCCTCGAGTAAAATAATTCGAGCTTTTTTGCGGGCCCGAATCGAGTCAAGCTTTTGCTCGATCAAGAAATCAAGGTTTGGCCCGAGCTTTCGACTCAGGCCTTATCAAACCGAGTGAGATACGCTTGTATTTTTTATTTATTTATTTTTTTAAATAATATATAGGCTGCGGCCTGTTGCTTTGTTGCCATTTTTGAGGCAGCAACCTAAGGTAGCAGAGCTTTGAATTTTTTTTTATTATTTTTTAGGGCAGTGCTTGGCGTACAGCCCAGCACTTTACAGAACTCTTACAGAGTTCTCAAAAAGGGGTGGGGTCCGAATTTTTTTCTTCATTTTTTATTACATCGAGACCCACATGAGACCAACCCCATGTGAGGGGTCGGTAAGCCCTCTGTAAGCAAAGCTATGTACATAGCTTTGCTGTATTTTTTAATATAAAGTCCGCGGCTGACCCGGCCCGAGCCTCAAGTAGGGCCAGCCGACGAGCCTGATTACCATCTCTAGAACCGTCTAATACTGAAGAATCAGCTCATAAATCGTGGTTAGGAGTTCAATTTAAAAGTTTATATTTTAACAAAATAACGTAGAAAATCAGTTGGCCATGTAACTACTAAATTCGTCTCATTAGTTCTGAAGAAAAATTGGAAATAAAGGTGACAAGATAATTGATCTTTAATTTAGCATGTGTCACCAATTAGCTAGGCTGCTAATTTAATGAAATTTTTGTCTGATATTGTTCTTTAAAATAGATTTCATATGGGAAGACAACCACTAGTGATTATAGCAGATCCAGAGCTATGCAGAGAAGTTGGTATCAAAAAATTCAAATACATAAACAACAGAAGCATTCCGTCTCCCATTGCTGCGTCCCCTCTTCATCAAAAGGGCTTATTCTTCACCAGGTATTATCAAGCAAAACTGCTTAGTATTTCTGTATCCGATTCATCGATCATGTCATGGTGAGTTCCAAGAATCGAGCCTCGTAAAAATTTGAACCATACTTACGAAAAAAGATGTATGTCAAGCTTTTGCAGAGGCGGATTTACAGTGTGGTCGATCAGTTGCCCCCATACAAAATTTCAAATCCAAGATTTTGTCCACAATTTCGCATAAGATTTATAAAAAAAAAAATGAAAAAGAAAAAAAAGAACTAGTTCTTCCCCTGACCTTTTGTGTGGAACTGTGGATAAGACAGAAATGTGTGTTAGTGTGTATGAAGATCTTCTAATCTTATATTCCTTATAAAGGAAGAATTTATGGCAGCAAAATGGACGTAGCTCTCATATTGAGGGTGGAGTACTATAAATCTATATTTTTTTAAGTGTTTTGTTTGTTACTGCTGTCGAAGTTAGAGAATTAGATTTAATCCATAACATCTTGCAGGGATTCAAGATGGTCGACCATGAGAAACGCCATTTTGTCGGTCTACCAGCCATCTCACCTTGCCAAGTTGGTGCCGACGATGCAAGAGTTCATCGAGTCCGCAACCAACAATTTAGACGGTAAACAAGATTTCATCTTCTCCGAACTCTCCCTCAAATTAGCCACAGATGTAATTGGACAAGCAGCTTTTGGAGTGGATTTCAGGCTGTCAAAGCCCAAAACTGGTCTTGATTCTGTCAACAAAACGAACGATCAAAGCGATGATAATGAAGTCCAACAGTTCATCAATCAACACATTTACTCCACAACTCAGCTTAAAATGGACTTATCGGGCTCCATTTCAATCATATTAGGCCTGCTTGTCCCTATTCTTCAAGAGCCATTTCGCCAGATTCTTAAGAGAATACCAGGCACAGTGGACTGGAAAGTAGAAAGAACAAACAAGAACCTGAGTAGCCGGCTAGATGGGATAGTGGAGAACAGAATGAAAGAAAAGGATCGTGGCTCGAAGGATTTTTTGTCACTTATACTGAGTGCAAGAGAGTCGCAGACAGTTGCCAATAATGTCTTCACCTCGGATTATATTAGTGCAGTAACATATGAGCATCTGTTAGCTGGATCAGCAACAACTTCATTTACATTGTCTACTATAATTTATCTGGTTGCGGGGCATCCAGAAGTTGAGAAGAAGTTGCTAAAAGAGATTGATGCTTTCGGCCCCCATGATCAAATGCCTACAGCCTCAGATCTTCAATCCAAGTTTCCATATATTGATCAGGTTGGTCTCAGGAATATCTTTATCTTCTGCAATCATCTTGAAAAATGATGAATTCTCGTAGCATTTGTAATTTTGGGTGCAGGTGATTAAAGAAGCAATGAGAGTCTACACAGTTTCTCCATTAGTTGCAAGGGAAACATCGGCTCCAGTAAGTATTGGAGGTTACAATCTCCCAAAGGTACAAAACTACATGTTATGTTATTTTATATAAATTTTATTCTTTATTTTGCACATAAGGAATCTGAATCATCTGATAAAAGTATTTATACTTGAATGAGCAGGGCACATGGGTGTGGTTGGCCCTTGGAGTCCTAGCTAAAGATCCTAAGAACTTCCCAGAACCTGAGAAGTTCAAACCAGAGAGGTTCGATCCAAATTGTGCAGAGGAAAAACGAAGACATCCTTACGCTAATATTCCATTTGGAATAGGGCCTCGTGCATGCATTGGACAGAAATTCTCCTTACAAGAAATTAAACTTTCACTAATTCATCTATATAGAAAGTATGTGTTCCGACATTCTCCACAGATGGAAGCTCCTTTGGGACTCGAGTATGGCATAGTTCTTAACTTCAAACATGGAGTAAAGGTTCAAGCCATCAAACGCACATGAAAGTCCTGAAAAGATAAATATTTCAGTATGAACTCGTGTTATCTGGTGAAATTTCGTAATTCTGAATTGACAATCAATACTTCAAGAACATTGTGAGCTGACAGACTTTAGGCAAAGCTTGAAAGTTACTTAGCAGTAACTTTTTTAAAAACTGTCTTCTCATACTTCTCGAAATTGTTCAGAACTATATTGTAACAGTTTTTCACATGATAGCAGTCTGTTCTCTGTTTTATATTTGCTAAAAATATTTCAATCTCACATGGATAAATAGAAGCTCAAAAGCATTTGATTGGTTCCAAAATCATGACTTACAGTTTTTACATAATTCAGAATTCAAATCACATCTCAAGAAACTAAACTTTTTTGTTACATTTTTTTCGCATGAAAAACATGGTGTTGAAGACTTGCAATAAATATTAAACATTACATTCCAGTCTTACTGAAATGAGCAATTCTCTCAGTCCCTCAACTTCCTTGAGAACTTATCAGAACCTGCATTGCTTTTTGATTCCTCGTTTGTAAAAACTGCTGAGTTCTTAAGAAACTGAAACTCGTCCATGGACTGTCTTTGAAGTCTATGATTTCTCTGCTTGGCCTTGGTAGCTTCTGTCATGTTCATATAACTTGGCCTAATATTATTGATCTCTTCTGCTCTATCTGACGCAAACATGGTGTTTCCAGAAACTGGAGTTGTAGATGTGAAAATTGAAGAAGCCGAGCTTTCATCATATCTGAAATCAGAACTCGGACTTGAAGATGAGTGAGTAGTTTGCCCAACTCGGGGAGGCTTTGCTGATATTCGTGTTGTGACATTGTTCTTTCTGACTTTCACCGAACTAGGTTCAGTCAACCTCGAGAGATTGCCCTTGGTGGAATCTGTGCAGGTCTTAGATAGAGGAGTTGTTTCCAAAGGGTCAGTCTGAGATTGTTCCATCAATCTGTTTTCCCAAGGCTTTGCAGCCATCCAACGTTCTAGCCAACTCCATCCCCAGCTGGTCTTGTTAAACTCATAACTTTTAAGAGGATTTGAAGCATTTGTGTGGGAATGAATAGTTTGGCTCGACTTCCACTGCAAGGAATATGAATAGATAATCATAATTGTTGAAAGTGAGAGGTAGTACCCAATAAAAAATAGAACTGGAAAATAAAATAAACAAGATTTTAACATTTTTCATTTTTAGTACTATAACATTGCCTTCTCAAAATCTTACCTTTTGAGCAAGAGAATAAGCAAATGCTCTCTCTCTCTTAGCAGCTCCTGCTTGCCGCATCTGTATCTTTGTCTTAACCTCTTCCAACGTTCCTCTACTGTCACACCACCCTTCCTGAAAAATTCAAAAATAATGAAATGTGTCCTTAGTTAAGAATATTGGAAAAAATTATTCATAATAAATTTCAATTGATAATAGTATGAGAGAAACCAGGACATTGACACGCCAGTATAAGATTTATCAAAAACAGTAGGACATGGATACATTAATTTAAATCCTTTGAAGTTATACATTTTTGTACGTTGTATCTTAATTTATATAAAATGTTGGATACGCTGTGGCATGTTGGCATCCTGTTCTGGTGTTCAAAGAGTGGCTGTGTCTGATATTGATAAGCGACGAACACGAAAATGACACTTCAATAGGAGTGTTTATGCTTTTTAGACAATTATCTATAAGAACCAAGACAGATACTACCTCAGCTTGTTTCAAGAGATCAGCCTTGCTGTGGCGTTCATCGAGCATTTGTTGCACAGCCTGTCCCTCTATGGACATACGTACACGACGAGCTCTCACCCGAGCCTGCACCCGGACCAAAGCTTGCATGCACCTAAGAGTAACGGCAGCCTGCTTCCGGACCTGCCGGCCACGAACTATAGCTTGAAGTCTCACTAATCCTTTCAAAGCCCTTAAAGCTCTTCTCGCCTAATATCATTGTCCAGCAACAAGTGAGGAACTCATTAGTCAGGTCAAGAGGAAGACCTTAATCACAAAACGAACATCCATATGAAATTAAATAATTAGGACCTAAGTTTTCTAGATTGACATATCATGCCCACTTCATAAAACGTTCAAAAGGAATTCAGGAACCCATAGAATAAAAAGAACGAAGCATCATTTGAATATCAAGCTGTCCAGGAAATTGTCTGAGGACCAAGTTGTAAAGAGAATACAATAGAAGACCTTTTATAAGATTTTCAAAAGCAGCCTCATTTTTTGTCAAGATCCTAAATCTTTATACTCTGGTCTTCTTCTCCTTCCTCACTCTCACCCTCTCCTTCTATACCCATACCTAGGGATGGCAATCGGACTCGTCCGCTCGAGCCGCCCATGACTCAGCTCAAAAAAAGCTTAAACCCATCCGGCTCGAGGCTCGGGAGAACCGAGCTGAAGTTAGGGCCAAGCCCCGTTTTGGAGTGCCTGTGTGGCTCGGGCTCACGAGCCTATATAAAATATATATATATGCAAAAATAATAATAATAATAATAATAATAATAATAATAATAATAATAAATAAAGGCTGCCTTAAAACCGAGCCTGTCCGACTCGGCCTTGCGTGGGCCCGAAAAAAAGCCGAATCATTTTTTAATCGAGCCAAGCCCGAGCCTCGAATTTCACTCCCGAGCCGACTCAGCTCAACTCGTTGATATACGTACCCGAACCCCCACCTCAGTACACCATTTTGAGTAATTCAATTTTATCTTCAGATACACAAGAACCTTCTCCTAGTTCTTTTGATTAATTGGTTAATAAATATATTATATATTTTCTAATTAGACTCACTATAAAACATTAGCCTTTTAAGTCATTCTTTTCCTTTTGATTTGTAGTGTTAACATGTGAAATCAAGCAAACTAAGTCAAACACGAAAACACAAACATTAATTCCATGTTTGATATCAATGAAGAAAAAGAAGTCAAAATCTTTTTTATTCCAAAAACAGATCGAAACAGAAAAATGGAAAATCCCTAAACAAACTTACCAAAAATCCACGAAATGCAGTTTGGATCCTAATGGCAGCCCATTCTTGCCTGACAACCCTGAAATCTTTGGGTGGAGCCCTTACAACAGTTGCCACGGCAGCATTGAAGGCATCATTATTCACTGATGAAGAATCAGAAGAGCCGTCTGATCCACCATTTCTTTTGAATCCTTTCCACGAGGACACACTATTATCACCTGATGAACTCCTCCATAGCCTCCATTTCTTGTTCTTTCCTCCCACTTTCTCCTTTAAAAGAAAAGCTTCTATCTTTAGCTGATTTATGTAATAAATATCTTAAAGCTCACCATTAATGTGCAGTAACCATGGAATCAAGAACAAAAAGTAAACATTTCAGTGAAACATTGTAACCGAAAACAGCAAATGCAACAGTTTTTTAGACTTACATGATCGTCTTTATCAGGTTTTTTCAGTCCTATCAAAGCCTTAACCCATTTTCCTGAAGCACCCATTTGATATAAGCTCTTGATTTACAAAACCCAATTCTTAAGTTTCAAGAATAAAAAAAAGATAGAGAGGGTGACTCTTAGAGCAAAAGCAAGAACTCGATTGCCAAGAAAATGACTTAAATAAAAAGGGAAAAAGGGTGTATTAATGAAACTCGGAAGAGAGAGGACCAGTTCCTTTAGGAGGTGAAAAACAGTTGTTTCTGCTTATAAAGAATAAAAATCAAAAATAGCCATTATTGAACAAAACACAAAGGTAAAAAATTAGACTTTACCAAACAATCTTTTCTTGCCCATTTAAAAGTATACTTTGCTCGACGAGCTCTAAACCAGACAAAAAAGGGACAATTCAAATCAAACAGCTGACCAGTAGAAGAGTGGGGTGGTGGGCATAGGAATTCGTGGTGAGTGGTAGAGAGTGTAGTTTGTGTTTATTTTTGTTGGTTTCTCCAATGTCTGTGTGTTAGGTTTTGATATTTGAAATTCGAAATTTAAGGGACACGATGACTTTATTCCCGCTCGAATAGTGTGAGTAATTGCCCACGGTTTTTAGATAAATTACGAGAATGCACCCTGATCCGCCTGATTGGACCCTAAAAAGGCACGACCCGTGTATGAAAAGGCGCATAACAAACCCAAATATAAGCAGACACAAAATCTAGAAAGTCAGTGCAGTGAGGATCAATGCTTTTTCCTACATTGGATTCCATGTGGGGACAACCTATTGCATGGATTCAAAATTTCCAAGCATTATAGAATCTGGTTTTACACATAAAATTAGGCCCATTTGTTTCTCATTTTGGTAAAAATAAGAATGAAAAATATAGTCATTATGGATCTCATACAAGAGATAAAAATTCAAATTTGGTGATTTAATGTGATGGATAACAGTCATATTTTTCATTTTAATGGAGGAAAGAATGGAAAACAAACAGGAGCTTAGTACTTGCTTGATAGGGATTTTGATAATTAATTTTTTGACCGTTAGAGATAAAGTGGGTTCTATTTGTGAGAGAATAATTCAAAAATGACGACTTTAATAATGAAATAACGATTAAAAAATTGATTTTAATTGGCTTTTTAGCTGTACCAAACAAACTCTTATTTTTAGTAAATTTTATGTTATTGAAAAATTTAAATTTTTTTTTCAATATTATGCGCTTGTCTGGCAGAGCTTTTTCACAAAAAATTATGTGTGCTTTTTTGATCGTTAGATTGTCAAATGAGACCCAATGTGGGAGTCAAAGTCAATAAAGATGGCTGATTTGGGCTTGCAAAGATTCAAAAAGTCTTTTTTTCTCCCTTGAAAAGCGGTTCCAGATAAACCTTGTATGAATGTTTGAAAATGAATTTTAAGAAATGAAAGTTAAACAGAAATATAATAGAATTTATGGTTCTAGAAAGGTAGAATATGTTCTTTTATAAACTTTAGATTTTGATGTCCCTTAGTAAAATGGATTTCGTAAGTCCTTTTTAAATTTAACCATTACAAGAGAAATTATTGAAATATTTTATTTGAATTCATATGTTATGCTTATTGATAGATTGGAGGGAGAAATCTCTCCCATGTTTGTCTTTTATTAAATCAAATTTAGCCCTCGTTTGAATCTTATTAAATTACATTTCATTACATTTTATTTCTATCTCTCTCTTATTTTCAAACACACAATCTTTTATAAAATAACATTACACGTAAATCGAAAACTTTTCCTTCTTTTTCAACCTCTCATTTTTCAAAAAATATTATTCCTCCCATTTTCATTACCCAAATATGGGGATCAAACAGGGACTTAAACTCATGTTTAACCGTACACTCATATAATAAAATTTTTTTTTATGTAGATTCAAAACTTTTTCCTATTTTTTAATCAAACATTTTCTAGTAATTAATATTTCGAAACTCATGCTTAAAAAGAAAAAATAAAAAATAAAAAACTCATTTTAATGACAGACAAACAGGGACTTCCTAAATATTTGAGATCTAGTTTTGATCAACTCGAAACTTTTATATTTCTTGTAAATTTTTGCACATATCGTATCACCTACTTGTAATTTTCTCAATATATTTGCTGCTTGTTTGGGTATAAATTAAAATCTAAATTTTAATATAAAGTCAATAATCAATTTTAACTACATATTTTAAGATATCCACAACTTTTCAACTATATAATTCATCAATTTTTATCAAATTTATCAAAAAATTGATATTAATCCCAATAAACAGGGATTTAAAGTCGTTCTTATATGATATAGGTGGAATTTTTGCGTTTTATTAATCTATTCAGATATTTATTGCCCACTAAATCATGAATGAAATATTGTTTGATGTGAATAGTGATGAAGCTAACAAATGTATGGATAAAAAATAGAGACATTTACAAAACACACACACACTACATATATTTAGAGGTGAATCCAGGATTTGAAGTAAGAATAGGCGGTTGGTTCGTTTGTCGTAATAAAATTTTGAAAATTAAACATAACAATTATTTTTGATAAAAATGAAAATATACTTTCTGCATACACTTGTGCAGTAATTTAAGCAACATAGTGGCCAAATCTCCGTCTGCTTCAAACGAAGGTCAAGGGTTCAAACCTTATTAAATTGCATAAAACCGCTAAACTTGAAGATATATCATTTTGTTACACTTATTGTCACAATCCAACGAGTGCAACAACGGTCATGTCCTCAATAATCTAAAAAAGGGGTCACAAGTTTGAATAATCTCTCTTGTATTACTTATGGTAAAAGTTGTTGATTTAGAAAAATAACACTATAAAATGTTTTACAGTTAATTCGAACCTTGCACGTCCAACTTGATTGAAAAACAGTCAACCAATTGAGCCATAGGTGAGATTTATAAAAATATTGAATTAGATATATAATATAACATATGATCTATTAAAAAAAAAAAAATTCTCCCCAAAAATCCAGTTAGGGCGGCCCCTTCAATCCGCCTCTGCACGTATCATATTATAAAAATTGACAATTTATACACTATATTTTGTAAAATGGTTATAAAAAAAACATTTACTAAAAATTTTATAAATATAACATTGTAAATAAAATTAAAAAGGACAAAAACTCTTAAACTAAACAACAAGTCACACTAATTTCTAATTATTGATTCTATTAATAGTGTTTATGTGGTATTCATAAAATTTATTACCTTCCTTTCCTAAACTCTAACATCAAATCAATAAAAAAATAATTTCAATGAGATACTAAAATATTGAAAATCTAGAAAATACTTCACTTGAATCTTTTAACATATAAAAATTATTAATCTCTATGTTCTATTTATTAAAAAAAAATTAAAATTCAATTAAAATAATTTTTTATATCAGTTGTTATTTTGTAGCTAAAATTAATTTCTTATTCATTTTAAGTTAGGTCATTAGCCACTTAGAAGAAATTTAAGAATGCGTCTGTAATTTTATTTGTAATTATTGCTAATGAATTTTTCTTTTTTACTAGAAATCTTAATAATAAAAAATATAATCTATAAGTATAATTAATAAAAATATATAATTTTGATTAAAAAATGAAATGTGCGTGTGTGTGATGTACTGGGAAGACTTGATTGAATGTCAACTTAATATAGATAGCTGAAAGAGAAAGAAATAATAATAATAACTTTTAGGTGAAAATTAAATATTAATTGAAATTTTGGAAAGTAAAATATAGTTAAAAATTGGTATGTAAAATGATTACATAATGTAACATAAATATGTCATTTGTTATTTTAAATTATAGGTAATTTGGTCTATTCAACAATTTATAAGGAATGATGAAGTTGTGAAAGTTGACACTGGATTGAAGTCTATTGACCTAATCGGAACTTAATTGAAGTCGAGTGACTCAATTGAGCCCAATAATATTTTAGTGACCCAATTAACATTTAATTGGAAGTTCAGTGGCCACAAATGAAATTTTTCCAATAAAACAAGTTATCATTAAACCCGCCGTGTAGACTAAATTTGGAAAATTCTACTTATACATAATTATTGCACATAATGGTATTCATAATGGGATGTGGCAATCATCCGATTGTTGATGTTCAAGTGTGAGATTTGAATTAAAGATTGGATCCAATACCACATGTAATTATGAACACCCTTATGTAGACAATTATGTACATGTAGCACTTCCTACTTAGTAGTGTTCAATAGCTACAACTATTGCATAGTGAAAAGTAATTGTCTAGTGCATCGCATGTTATAGCCATAATCTATTTCCAAGGTTTATACTTAGAAATCCATTAGTACACAACATTATCTTGTATATATGTGGTAAAGAAGGGGCTTACCTCTTTGTCCAAGGTAATATGGTATGTAGAACTCTACATGTTTCTGATTTGGGAGTTGTTCTAGAATGGTCAATTCATGATTGGCTCACTTAATAGGACGAGTGCGAATTCAGGATCTTACTAAAAAAAAAAATCAAGTCGAGCTAAAAACACATCAAAAATGAAATGGTCTAAGGACTAGACCGGACTGTACCCCTTGCATTCGACTCGTTTAGGTTAACCAACTTCATTTTACTTCTTTGAGTCCATTACTATCTAGATAGATAAATCTTGCTAAATTTGTCCTATCGACTCTCCTCTACACTGGTCATTTCAAGTGCAATGTAATGCCCATTGAGAATGTATGTTTTATTTTCCAAAAAATCCTCAAAGGTCTCATTTATTCCATTGTTTCTGCAATTGAAATAGAGTGGAAACTATATTCTTTTGGTATATGACAAATTTGTTATTGAAGAACACAACTATAAATAGAAATTATTATGCCCATTTCTCCTAACCTACCCTGACACTTATTTCAGGGGCCTTGACAGAAAACTAAACGTGAGACCATATGAATGGAAGTTTGTTGGGCAGAATTTGAATGAGAAAAATAAATTGAAACAAGAAACTGTAAAGTCCAATTAGAATAATCTATACAGTCTGTTAAACTTGTGTTGTATAAAAATTGCCAACTTTTTCTGCCATTTCGAGGTTTGACCGACATTTACGGTCTTCGAATGTATAACTGCCAATAAGACACTGCAGAATTAACAATATGCCTTGTTTGAGTCTCGTTCTTTCCAAAAAAATACATTCTTAAATAATGTTATGACATCATTTCAATCACACATTTTTCAATAAAATAATATTACACGCAAATTCAAAACTTTTACTTATTTTTTAACCACATATTTTCCTTCAATACATTATTCAAAAATTCATTCTCTCCAAAAATAGGGCTATATTACCTGCATGTACTTAACGTAGTAACATTACAAGGTCATGTGGAGGGTGTATATATTGTAGTGTGCAATGGTCTCGTTTGGAATAAATTAAAATCATATTTTTAGTAGATTTAATAAAAATTGATTAAATGTATGGTTAAAAAAGTTTTGAGTCTCATAAAATATATA